ACCAGAGTTTGACCCCCGGCGGGTGTGTCGCCAAGTGGGGAAAAATGGTTAGACACATGAATGCGTTGGTGGTGTACCTGGGGCTTCTGTTTAAGACTATGCTTCCTTCTACTGGTCCTTTGATAGAGTATGGTGCCAGTTTTATTTAGTAATGAATACAAATGTCTTCCCCTTGTACTGTTTTCCCAATTAAGTTGCCACTGCGTTTTTATCTGTTTCCATACAATACTTTTCACTTCTGACTTTGATCATTTTACTTTGCATTTAACATGATTTCTTTTTAAATTGCACCTTTTGCCAACTATGAAGTACAGTCCAGTTTCTGTGTTATGCCAGGTAATTGTATATTTGCATTTCTCAAGGTAAGACACCTGTTGCAATACTAATACTAATACTATACTAATAATACTATTGGCTGATATCGAGCCAATTCAGTGGTACTCAGAGCCAGCCATCAATCAGCCAATCAGTCTGATTGATGACCCTGATTGCTGATGGAGAGCACCTGAAGTAACGAGAACTAGAAGGTATATAAAACCACCATGCCAAGCCTTCTAGTAGTAGCAGCTTTCTCCAACAACCTACTTGCCACTTGCAAAGCTGATCAGTCATAGTCAGGTACTTGCTTCGAAATGTGTAAGTATCCCTCCCCATTCTTCTCTGTGGTCATGATTGCTGGTATTGTTACTTAAATTATACATTGGAGGTTGTAATAGTTTTTTTTTTTTTCATAGTGTGGGATTAAAATATTCTTGACCTAGGAGGACTTTAATCTATTCTCCTTGGCTTTGCAGCCAAGAAAGTGCTGATTGTGTATGCCCATGAGAGCCCTGCCTCTTTCAATGCTGCTGCCAAAGATGCTGCTGTGGCAGCTCTGACTGCTCAAGGCTGCACTGTAGAGGTGTCTGACCTGTACGCCATGAAATTCAAAGCTGCTGCTACTACTGAGGACATCACTGGTATACAAATATCCTGCAGGTATAGAAATGCTTTGATTGCTCTCAAATGTAAACACTGGCTTTAAATGCAGGTGGAGTGAAGGATGCTGAGAACTTCTGCTACGCAAAGGAGATCAAA